CAAGAATCCAGCGGTCCCTCCATATAAAGATAAAATATTTTATAAGAAAGTCCCTTTGAAAATTTGTATATTAAAACCTTGGTTTCTTATTATTTATTACATTTGCAAATACAATTTATAAATTCGTATAAATAGTAGTTTTTAGGAATGAAGTATGGGTTCCAGAAAATTTCAATTAGTGATCTGTAAAAATTTGCGCCAAATTCTATTATGAAATTATTGCAGTATCACGAATTAATCTTATTTTATTAATATTATTTTATCCGTGTTACGCCTACTTTCGTAATACGTTTTATTTGTATTTATTTAACTTATTTAAGAAAGAATCGTCTTGGATATCTTCACAATTTTGGGATATCCGCGCAATTTTGAGAAATCGTCACAATTTTGGGATAACTTCTCAATATTGAGAGAATATCTCAATTTTGGGATATTTGAATTACTAATTAATTGAATTGTATATAAGGAGCTTGAATTCAATGTACTTGTAAAGTAACTTTCTCATAAGTTAATTAGTTCCGACTAAGAAAACTAAATAAATAAAATAATATTTTATTTAAATAAACTTTTATCTTCTTTAACCAAAATTATTCGCTAATACCAAAATCAATTCGTTGATCCCCTATTCATTCCGATCCATGCAAAAACAAAAATAATTGTTATCACCAATTAAAATACGCTTTCCCAAATTTAATCAGTGACAATAATACATTATGTTAATAAAAGAAATTCAAACACTTGAAAATAATCAAAAATCAAAAGAGAAATCTGAAGAATTAGAAGAAATATTATTAGATTTAATAAGAAAAAATTACAACTATACAAAAGCAGAAGTAACTAAATATTTGATATCAAATTATTTAATGATTGGAGAATTAATTTTAGAAAAGCACTTTGCAAGGAAAAAAGATGAATTAACCAAGGGAAGAGAAACCTTGAAAAAATCATTGCTGAAATAGTTTTAAAATACTACAAAAACCAACTGATGAAGATAAAGATAATTGAAAAAGGTGCTTGTTAAACAATAGAGAAATGGACACAATAATCAAAATTATTGAATACTGAAAGCAATAAGCTAAGAATGCTGAGAGAGGTAATGAAATACACTTGGATGCCTTAAAAAATGGAGAAAGACAATTAGCTGAAAATTAGAGCAAACAGAGACAGCCAAGAATCAAGGAAAAAGAACAAACTACAAAAAATTACAAAAAAGATAGGTGAGAAAATTCACCTAAAAGAGAGACCAGAGAAAATAATTAAAGGAAACCAAACCAATCCACACCAATTCTCTTTTGTCAAATTTATTTTTAACTTTAATCTTTAAAAGATAGTATAAATATCCTCGCTATACTGATAATTAAACATGAGTTAAGTAAATCCTTTTTAGGTTATTTATGGTTCTGTGTTAATTTTCTTTTATTAGCTATGATTAAGAATCCAAACAAATCAATGGAATTCGAACTATAAATAATTTGATTCAAATCTAATTCAGTTATATATCATATTAATATGAAATAATTTTAAGAGAGTTGCTTCTGTAAATAAATGGTTTTGAAAGTTAAAACTGTGAAATAGTTCCACACTTTACTCCTTGTTCTTCTTTGAACATATTGCAATGTGCCTGTTGAAGAAGTAATTGAAGAGGCATCATTTCAACAATGTAATTATCATCATTCATAAATTTAAAACAATGGATTGTGCAACTGTAAATTGTATTAATTTTTTGTTAATATGTAGAGTCTCTATTTGTTTTATTTGAATCATTATTCATTTTATTTGTTTTATTATTTGTTTATTCATTTTATTTGAATAGACATTTGATGTACTTCAAATACTCAAATTCATAGCAAATAAAATCATTTGAATAATAAACTCTATTTGAATTATTAATATGAAATTAAAAGAAATTTAGGAATCTGGTTGGATTTGAATCAAATTGGATCCAGTTTTTTGAATTTGAATCAATTTGTTCAGAGCCTTATTTGAATGAGTTTCATATTTATATTTTATTTATAGAATTGGTTCTAAATAACAGGTACAATTAAACAATTGTGAACCTGAAATTCTTTTGTAGTACAAATGTTCACTGGTTTGCCCATATATAATGTTATTTAATAATAATAAGTGACTGTAATAGTAGTAAAAATGGTATTACCAGTAGGATTGATGGTACTAGAAGCATCAGCATCAGTAGTTATGATGAGAATGATTATTTACCTCATTATCAAAATAATGATGATGACTAGATGAAATATTGAAATATTTACTTGATATTATTATGTTCCATCTGAATTAAAAAAGAAAAAACCAAAAATGTGCCCACATTGATCATATAGGTAACCTTTCCTTTTTTTATTATCAAAAAAATGTCTCAATTTAATTCGAGTATACCAACATGACAACTTTTAACAGACTAAAGTGGTTATACTGAAACAGGAGAGAACGTCCTATATAAGGAATGGATTTTCACAATTGATTTCAATTTTTTTTATACAGTTTAAAATACT